CATATCATAACTACACACCTCAACCCAAGTAACATTCTGGCGGTTATTGGAAGCCATTTTGCCAGGACCAGCGGCGGGTTCCAGAGGAGTAGCAAGGCTCGAGATGGTGGCGCGCGCAAGCGATAACGGGGCCTTTGCTAGGAAAGACATATGCATGCAGACGACTCAACGACTGATGGTGGGAAAACAGGCCCAAGGAATGATAGGAAGACCAAGAGAAGGAAGAAAAATGAGCGACAGTGACAGCTATAGAGGCTGCATTGGTGTGGGTTGGATCGAACCAAGAAGGAGGTTAAGTGGAATGCAAGGGTGCAAGCAAGTTCCCCCATGCAAAGACGGCATCTCGGATACGCTTTCTTGGCATGATAGAGATGCGTCGAGAAGGAATAGGGATTTTTGGCCGTGTAATTGGCGTTGGGGCTGAAAGGGGGAACAAGCGCCGAGCCAGCATGGGTGGCCGCGTAATATTCGTCGGTGGATGGTGAATAGACCCCACCGGTTTCAGGCCTTCAGTGTCTTGGCATCAAGCCTCTGCATGGGCAATTCGCTGTGGCGGTGGCCGACGACGCGCCAACCGGAAGCCGGCACTGCACTCAAGAAAACGAATATAGAGCGTGTGTTGGCACGGCTGTGGCGAGGGCGGGAAAGATGCCTGAGGTTGCGCAGATGTGCCGACGTGCAGAGTCGCATGCCCGCCATGACTGGACGTGTGGCGCAAAGTTCGGGCCCAACGCAGCGTCTGTACCCACCCTCCACGTTTGGTTGGCGGCTGACAGTGCAGGGCGGGATCGTCGACGTAGATTAGATGACAGCCGCTGTTTTGTGTGTTTCAACTTTCGAGGCCGCGCAATGTGTGTAGCGCGTATCATCGCCGTCTCCTAGCGCGCTGCGACGACGATGGCGTGCGTAGACGACGACGCGTTGGATTATGCGTGCGTGGGCGGCCGAAATGAGGCTCTTCAGCTTCGACGGTACAGGTGCTAGCGCTGGCGTCGTGACGAGCCACAGCTGTCAGGCCAAGCCCGGAGGCTGCATGGGATTCTGACAACCCCCAAATACCATCCGTCAGCATGCAGCCGTCTTGGAGAACTTCGCCAACTCAGGTCCACGGGTACCTTGGGCTAAATAATTTGGGAGCTTGGCACAGTGTAAGATGAGCAGGTGAGATGCCTGATGTAATCTTACTACATGTTATCTATTTACTGATCTGCGATGTCGCTACACAATGACCGCTTAAGCCCTAGTGGTTCTTCTCAACAATCTCCTTGGCAAAAGCTGCAAAGTCTCTCTTGTCGTCGACCTTGTCCCACAGGTTCGGCTGGGTGAACACTGCCAATGTGTTCCTCGCTACCTTTCCCCCAGTCGCCGCGCCTCTCACGAAGTGGGGAACGGCTTTGAACTTGCCCTGTGTGATGATCTCGAGCGCTTCGCCTGTTTGGAACGCGAGACAGTCTCGAGGTATGCTGACCTTTGTGACGTTTCCGGTACGGGAGTGGATGTAGAGACCCGCCTTGGGGTCCGGTGAGCGATCCAGTTCTTGTAGGGGCGAGAATGATGCACCTGTTTTGGGCGGATTGGTAGCCTCGTCGACAAACATGGCAGATGTCAGACCGGTCAGACATCCATGATCGAGATGGGTCGCACACCAGTCGTCCTCGTCACCACTGGATGTATCGGGGGCGGGCGAGGGACTGGGGAAGTAGTGCAGCAGCCTGGCCTTGGTGGAGACACTTGTCTTGACTAGATGCTCGAGGTATCCCTTTTGGTAGCCCTCGATGTTGGCTTCAGCGTACTTGTCGCAGGCACGAGCAACCAAAGCAGCTATGTCGATGATGAGAGTACATAGCTCTCGGAAAGTCTCCTCGAAGCCTGGGAGAAGCTCTTGAGATGGCCACACATTCGGCGCGGTGTACTCTGGGAAGGAGGGGTATTTTTCAGCAACCGTCTTTTGCTGCTCTTCGAACCCGCTGGCACAGTTGACATAGTAGGAGCCCTTGAGGGTGTCGTATTTGCCATCTTTGAGCGTCTCCTTTCCGCAAGACCAGCCAACTAGCCACTTGGACGCTGGAGATTCGAGCTTGACTAGTGACATGTCAGTGGTCTTTCAGATGTAGATTCAATTAGTGGCGCTTACCCAATTCATCCTCTGGTAAGTTTCCAAGAGCAGAGGCGTACGATAGTAGTTTATGTCGCAGCTCATGGAACTTGGAAGGGAGATCCTTTACCACAATGATTCCCAGGCTAGACGAGCCAAAGGCCTCTTCAAGTAGCGAGAAGTCTACATCATCTGGAGCATTATCAGCCAAGCTGAGTCACAACCATGCAGCTACTACTCACTATTCTTCAGGGCGTCAAGACCCACGGCGACGGCGCTCTGGTTGACTGCAGCATTAGCGTTGGCCATGTTAGTCGTCTAGCAAGACACAGGTGTGGATGATGGTTTTCACTACGTAGTACTGCGACTTTATCGTGATGTGGTAGTGCGCGGTAGGTCTCATCTGGTCCGCACCTCGACTGCACCTGCCTGATTTGCTGCAGCCTCGGCCACCTCCGATCTCTCACCTCCGAAGCCTGATTGCGACTACCAACAACGCCATCGCCATGCCCAAAGCCCTCCACTTCAAGGGCGACAAGAAGGTCAAGAAGCGCAGAAAAGCTGCCGACCCCTACGACGCGGACGAAAAGCCCTCGAAGCAGCTCACCACGAGCGCGCCTGCCGAAGCCGAGCATGACGACTCTTGGGTGAGCGCAGATGCGCCGAGCGACATCACAGGCCCTGTAGTCATTGTGCTGCCCACCGACACACCGAGCACGTGTCTGGCATGCGACGCCAACGGGAAGGTCTTTGCGAGCGAGCTGGAGAACATTTTCGACGGCGATGTCGCGACGGCCGAACCCCACGATGTGCGCCAGGTCTTCGTCGCGAATCGCATTGCCGGCACGGAACAGCTCAGTCTGAAGGGCCATCACGGAAGGTAAGGACCACGACATTTATAGAGAATATGCGGCTAACCTAGTCCAGATATCTGAGCTGCGACAAGTTCGGCGTCCTCAGCGCAACCGCAACCGCCATCTCCCCCGAAGAAACCTTTGTCGTCATCCCTGTACCCGACAATCCCTCTGCCTTCTCCCTCCAGACTGCCCGCGACTTGTTCCTCACCATCGACGAATCCTCCTCCAAAGGCCCAGAGCCACGCGGCGACGCCGAACACATAAGCTTCAGCACTACTTTCCGCATCCGCATGCAAGCCCGCTTCAAGCCGCGAAACAAGGCAAGCAAGGAAGAAAAGGCCAATGTCAAGATCAGTCGCAAGGAATTGGAGGACCAGATTGGCCGACGTCTGAACGATGCTGAGGTCAAGAAACTACGAAAATCGAGAGTCGAGGGGAATTTCCACGAGACGGCCTTGGACATGAAGGTCAAGTCTAGTCACGACAAGTATGCCAGCATGTGAAAACCCCCAAGTATCAGCCACGATGCCTCAGAGTAGCAACAGAGCGTTGCGTCGTCGCATGGTGCCGCAATGACACCTCAAGTCGCCCTTGGCGTCCACAAGCAACGGCAGCACCCGCGTTACACCATACTCTGCATATACCCGATCCTATGGCTGCGACACTGCAAGGCCGCGTAGCCTTTATGCGCCACGATCTGGAACTGGTTTCGAAACGTCACCCGCCACACCTTGTGGCTGCGCGTCCGTCTGGGCAGCGTGCGCCTCAGCACCCGAAGCCTCAACATAGATAGACGGAACTCTGTGTTGTCTCAACAATACACAATGGACTTCCAATAGACCTCATGCGGCCAGTATGCTTTTCTTTCTTGGCAGACCGCGTTTTAATAACAAAGAAATTCAACACATCTTCTGCTGTTCCTGTATGCGTTCCGTGGTTATCTCTTCTTTCCTTTTTCTTCTGGCCGCTTTTTGTCGGATGACGCGATGGTGACGCGTCTGAAATTATGTGTGATATCCGATTTGGGTGAAGTATGCTTGAACGACTTACTAGCTATAGCGGACGATCCCGCATTTTCATCTCGGTGTCAATGTAACCACAACTGGAGAGCATACATCAAGAGATGCTTTGGTGGTATAGCATTTACTATGCACGTTTGCCATTGGCGTACACTGCGGGTGCACCTCATACAATGGGGAAATTGAACACCCTGGAGCCTACGTTGACCTTGGGCCACCTACTTTGTATGTTTTTACCTTGATGCAGGCTCTAGGGTGTTCAGTTTTTCGCTAGGCTGACGTGGGTGGTTTTCCTTACTGCTACACTACACGATAAGCTGGCTTGTTGACTTTTGGACTGACTGTAGAGCCCTGACACGAGAAGCATTCTAGACGAGGTACAAACCGATGCTGCATAGCAAGCACGATCAGTTCACCTTTCCCTCCGATGGTATATTAGACCGAACAGCTTTCTTAGAATCACGCCCAGACACTCGCTCTTCTCACCCTCCTGATCTCCTGCGGAGTGTTCTGCCAGAAGCGTTGTCATTGCCCCGACTCAATAGGTTAACTTCTGAGTAAACATGCGGTCAGTCATCCAATCATGCAATATGTACGGGAGCTGGTACAATGCGAAATAAGAGATGCGACCAAATTCGAGCTGAAAAGGTGACACAAAGAGGGCTGACCTCAGTGGTCACCTTCAACGAACCTTAGGCGAACAGAACCGCCAATTGACATGACCATCTCCGTACATCGAAGACGCTATAGGCCAGTACAAGAAGCCCATGGATACTTTCATTTGGTGAGACAGAGCACCTTCTCTCACTGGCAGGCAGGCGCGTTTGACAAGTCTACTCATTACCGCGACTACACGTAGGTACCCACAACACCAACCTTGGGCCACACGACCTCGCGTCCAAACTTACAAACCACACCCCCGCTATTCATATATTCCTGAATATATGTACTCGTAACGCCGTGGACGCTTCAATCTTCTCATATACGTGTCTCGCGACTGCCGACCATCTAGAAGAGACCTCGCCCACCATGCCCGGCAGCTACGTTAAGGACAACTGGCGCATCATCGACAGCATCACACCCGCGGTGTGCTTCACCACAGCCGTATTCTGGGCACTCTACATCCTCTCATTCCCGCCATCCACACGCTTCTACCGCAAGCTCTCCATACTCGCCCTCGCGCTACCAACATGGTATGCGTTCCGTTACTCAGACCACTTGACACCGAATTACTACCTCGATGACACATTCGGTCGCACATGCCTGATATGGTTCGCCCACATGAGCTACGAAGTCTGCGTCATGGAGTTCGCGCCCGTTCTCACACGAGAGAAGCGAAGTATGGGAGACTGGGAGCAGAAGAGGGACAGAGTCAGACAGGGATACAAGGTGCTCTTCGATCGCAACCACACGCAAGTGCTCGAGCAGCAGGGACACATACTACCGAAATCATCCCATGATGCGATTTCGGCGGCGAGGGAGGAGCCAAGTGAAGAGAAATACATTGCGACTGACAAGAAGACCGACGAGCCCGTCTTACCAAACGCTCGCGTTCAGCACGGTGTTGCGCTACCGATGGGTCACCGCCACGGCTACTCTCGTTGGGAGTTCGTCGGCTACCACATACTGAAAGCAATTTTCTACTACTACGCCCAGTGCGCCTTCACCTACTACGAAGAAAACTACTCACCAGGGGTTCTAGACCCTGCCACATACCTTACGCCTTCACTTCTATCCTTCTTCCACCGCTTGATACCCCTAGACAGAAGAGACATATCCTGGCGGATGGAATTCACTTTCGACTGGTGCATTTCATCCATGTGGCTTTACGAGGGGTATCACAGTATCTTCGCTGTCCTTTGGGTTGGCTCGGGACTCGACGGACCGGAGGAGTGGTCCAAGAGTCTCTTTGGTTCGTTGAGCGCCGCGTGGTCAGTCAGACGATACTGGGCAAAGCACTGGCACAACTATGTCTACCACTCCTTCTCAGGCCATATCAGGTGCGTGACGAGGGGCTGGCTCAGCATGCAGCGCGGTGCGATCTCAACCCGATTGATCGAGAACACGCTCGTCTTCTTCGCATCCGGACTCATGCATGCGCTCGTCCGATGGCAGCAGGTCCCCATGAGCGACCACTGGGGTATTGCCTGTTGGTACGTTGCACAGATGCTACCTATCATCACCGAGATGGTCGTGGCGCACCAGTGGAAGAAATTGCGGAAGTGGCTGGGATATGGCACCGATTCGAAGTGGTTGAACCGCTTCGAGTATGCGGTCGGATACTCGTGGGTCATTGCCTGGTTCCTCTATAGTGTGCCCAAGTATTATCAGACGAGGATGCATTGGACGAATGCCATCATACGGAAGAAACTCATGGCTGATATGGCTGCGGATGGGAATATCAACAAAACGGGCTCGGGCTGATATGGGGGAGGTACACATCGTTCGTTCCGTGTGGGGGAAGACTTGGAACGTTATGTGGTGACGTTGAATGGCCAAGGAGAATGATGTACCGTAGGAGCGGCGCTGCTGCACTACACAAAACGTACGTATCATTCATGATACTTGCCTTCTTGGACTCCTCTAGCTCGTGCATGTGATGGTCTGACGACGTAATCATTAAATCTTATACCCCAGCGTGCATCAGTGTTTTGTAATCAAGGCGTGGAAAGTACAAGGATTCCAAAGATGGAACGGTCATCATTGCCTAAGCGTGAAGTATCCAAGCAGGGTAGCATCTATAACAACACTGCAATATAGGTATTAGTTGCCGGTTGGAGTGGAACAGTGACGTATGCAAAATCGTGTGGCCACATATCACCGAATGCTGTCTCCATGGAGTGTTCATTCTGACTTCATTACATTGGTATCATCATTAAACTATGCTACAAATTTCGTTACACTGACATCAGGTTTAGTACCTGGTCAACTTGGGGCTGCCCTCCCACGCTGGGAAACTCCACTTGGTCTCCACAAACACCTTTTGCATGCCATCCTCCTTCTTCTCGAACTTGTAGTAGACCTTGTCCAAGTCCTCGAGGCGGACACGGTGGGTAACCATCTTTGAGGGGTCGATGCGCTTCTCCTGGATCATCTTGAGGAGCGACTCCCAGTACATGTGTACAGGTGCCTGACCGTTACCGATGAGACGGATACCGCGCTCCATGAGAGAACCAATGTTGAAGTGGTTGGTGAAGCCGACGTATACACCGGTGATACCGCAGCGGCCCATGTTGCGTGTGCTAGTAATCATCTCGTTGATGAGCTCGCTGGTGTCGGTCTCGAGACCGAGCATCATCTCGAAGTAGTGGGCCCAGCCCTTGGCGTACTCGCCGGCGGCACACTCAATGCTGACGTCTGGGCCGCGGTTGTTGCACATCTCCTTGAGCTTGCTGGTGACGGACTCGCCCTTGGCTAGGGTGGAGAAGTCGATGGTTTCGATGTTGGGGTACTTGGACTTGACGAAGTCGAGACGCCAGTTTTGGTCGATCATGATGACGCGCGATGCACCTTGCATCAGCGAGAAGTCTGCGGCCATTTGTCCGATTGGGCCGGCTCCCCAGATAGCAACGACGTCGCCCTTGTTGACACCGGTGTCGACGACTGCGTGCCATGAGGTGCACACAACGTCGGAGAGGAAGAGACCCTGCTCATCCGGAACATCATCGGGAAGCGGCAGTAGGTTGACGTCACCGTAAGCGACACGAGTGTACTCTGCTTGGCCTCCGGCGTATCCACCAGTGAAGTGAGAGTATCCGAACATGCCTGCTGTCCGGCCACCGTACATGGCGTTCTCGATGGTGTTGGAGTTGGTCTTCTCGCATTGGGAGGACAGCTTCTGCTTGCAGTAGTAGCAGTCACCGCAGGCGATCTGGAAAGAGGCAACGACTCGTTGGCTATAGTATGTTAGCGATGCGCTGAGCAAGGACTGGGAGATAGACGTACCCCTTCTTAAACTTTGTGACACCAGGACCAAAATCGTCTACCACACCACAGAACTCGTGTCCGAGGATGTCACCCTTCTGCATCTCCACGACAGAGCCGTGAAGCAAGTGCAGGTCAGAACCACAGACAGTGGAGCCAGTGACCTTCACGATAACATCGCGGTCCTCTAGAATCTTGGGCTTTGGTGTGTCGATCATCTGAACGTCGTTCTTGCCGTACCATGCCAAAGCCTTCATCGTCTCTGAATAGTCGGCGGTGCTCTCGTCGTTGCCAGGGTTGGTGACGTTCTGCGCGGTGGTGGCGTTGTCACCATGGCCAATGGCCTTCTCAGCCTGGCGGGCTGCTTGGGACATCATCTTGGGCTAAAGTTTGGTGTGTAGTTGTATGTGTGAAAGGTAGAGGGATGTTCAAATTTGGAGAGCCTGCAGTATGCGCAGCGCGCCTACCTTTTCAATGCCAACCAGCGACATTTTCGATGACATATTACAAACCTGTGACGTGAATTTTGCAGCCCTCTTACAACTACCGCGAACCAGAAGATTATCCGCCCCCTTGTACATGCGCTTGGAGGGGCTAGCTTAACGTCATGACACGCTGTGGAGGGGCACAAGTCCGCTATACGCGAGCTGAATGTACGCTTTTGGAAATGCCATGTGCTGGCGCAGATCGAGGTTGGCGATGGGAATCCTACGAGCGTCATGGCGATGTCATGGTGGGGCGGCACGCGTTTCGCGTTTGGCCGTTGGAGCTAGACATGCAGCTCTGGCCAGACCTTCGTAGACCGAGCGCGTTCCGAACGGCATTCTCTCGGTAGATGGTTATATCGTCGTGTTAAGCTCGGGGCGTTGATATAGAGGAGAAAGTGGAGGTGGTGTCGTGTGCAGGTGCGAAAGGGACGCGAAGTTCGCCCTTCAGGGCTTGCACAGACGCATGCAGTTCAACTCGATTGATAAACTGCAGGACAGCGGCTGCGCGAGGGCTTATATGCCTGTGACTGAGGACCATGATGGTGAAGGGACGTCCAGATCATGGCCATACGCTGGAAGTCGGGACAGGTGATATGCATGAGACGGTGCTGAGTAGTTGCCGGCGCAGGTACAGACTCCTCGGATTGCATGCGCAAGCATGAACGCGTTAGCGGGATGTGTGCGATTCGGTCCTGTTCGACAGCTTCCAATTTTGGCTCACTCAATGTTATCGCGGGCAGCTTCGTGCGACACTTGCTACCGCTTCGAGCACGAAGTCGGCGATCCGGTAGACAAGACGTGTAGGACCAGAAGCTCGTCAATAGTAAGCATTTTGGCAATGCGCGAAACAACAAGAATGCCACATTCAGTACTTGGGCAACCGCGCAGAGCTTGGCAGGCCAAACGCGTCGACGAGACACCAAGCTTACACCACAGACCATGATATAGAAGGCGAGGAGCTGCGGTTTTGGTCCCGCTGCGCAGATAGCTTCGGAGCTCGACGCGTTAGCAAGCACCGCAGGACGGCTGGCGACGCGTCGAAAGCAGCACCACCTAATGGACAGGTCTACAGCCTACATCAAGATGAATACACGCAAAGTACGTGACATGACCTGAATGTAGGCTCTTGGATGTTCAGTTCCTTGCTTATAAATGATGGAGCTCTTATAATGTTGTCAAGCATCTTCCTCAATCCAATGCGCAAGGCACTGGAATCAATGAAAATGTAAAGCCGCAGTGGCAGACCAGCAAAAATTGCCCCGCTGAAGCCCCCGAAGGAGATTCATGACAACACCACACCCCGCTGTGCAATGGAGGCGACGTTGTCAGACCATCAAATGCTTGAGCTTGATGAGTCGCAAGAAGGTCTAGAGATTGTTAGCAGGTGTAAACGTAGGGGGGTGGTTGGGGGATACGAACAAGTATTCAGAGCCTTGAGGGGATGGGGGCGGCGCGGTATAAGTAGCCAGATGGTCTTGGCACGCTAGTGGATCACATGACGAGCAAGGGCGTTCCGGAGGCCAGTGCGCGGGGGGGCTCTGGAAACGGGCGGGTAAAGTCCGGCAGTGAGATGACCAGCCCCGGGCCAGGTCCATGCGCCCGCCTGAGTGCTGCTTCCCCATCAACTCACATCTTTCGACATGGAACTGCGTAAACGCCGCACATGCAAGTTAGTGCACTTTCACATATGCGCTGGGGATCTGTCAAAGACGTCTGGGTTCGACGAGTCGTGCCAACCGAGCAGAGCCGCGCGGTTTCGTTACCGCGGAAAGTTTCCAAGCGCCGCAATATGTTTAGATCGTTGCCTCGATAACACACCATGGATCTCTTGAGCGCCTACATCCTAGCATGAGGTACATCGTAGAATAGTATAACTAACCTGGACGGATACCCAGTATGTAAAGTGCTAACACTCGTTCATGTTCCTACAAGTCAGATAATCACCATACTACATTTTAGCGATCTCTTTACCTTACCGTTCAAAATGCTCTGCGACTTGTGCGCCAGCATGCTCACCCGTCAAAGGGGACGGATCCGCTCCCCTCACGGCGGTCAGCATTACTATGAGCATCACAAATCTACAAAGACGCTTCGACAATCAGTCGCAACGCACTGTACAATTTGCACAGGCGCTGCTCAAACGCTCAGTCAAGAGATTGATCTCTCACGAGATCAACCTGTGGCATTGCAAGCCTACTTGACGACGACAGAAATAGAGCGCAATAAGTTCACGGGAGATGGGTTCAAATTGGACATCATGTGGGGCAAGGCCACCATTGGTCATTTCGGGTTGCTCAAGATTGGTATGAATATCCTACCTGATTGCCTGACGCTTTACTGACACATGCAGACCCCAGATCTCAACCCACGCCTCCCCGGATGACATCAAGCGATGTTTTAGACACCGCACAAACGTGGATGAAGAAATGCAAATGTGCAAAGACTTGGGAAGTGTCTGGCGAGAAATGGTATCCGCGTCGGTTACTAGACTTGCAAGACCTGCGGGCTAATCGCCACGACTTAAGGAACGCAAGAGTACGTTTGGTGGAGTCAGCAGAATGTCCGGGTCTGCAAACAACCAGCAGTGGAGGCCATCGTTTCAGATCGAGACGTCAGGATGACCGTTACGTTACATTGAGCCATTGCTGGGGCAAGCCCGGGCCCGGCGTAACCCCTCTAAGGATGACATTCGACACCGAGAGACGCTTCAAGACGGAAGGCATCGGACTCCAAGAGTTGCCAAAAACGTTTCGAGATGCTGTTATCTTTGCCTCACGGCTGGATAAGGTTGGATTCATATGGATCGACTCACTCTGTATCCGGCAACCTCTCTCGTCGGCGCCCGATCAGATGCAGGACTGGTTCGAGCAGAGTCGATACATGGGCACGGTATACCAAAAAGGGTTCCTGAACATATCCGCGACCGCTTCGTCTGATGGCAATGGAGGCTTGTTTTTTGATCGGCGTGCTGAGCACCCCTGGGAGACTATCATCGACTTGTCTTACCCTCCTTTAAAGCTCTCCGAATCGGACTCTATCTACAGATGCATGTTGATAGACCAATTCTCCTGGAAAAATTTGGTCGAGCAAGCCCCCGTCAATCGACGAGCGTGGGTCTTCCAGGAGCGCTTGCTTGCGCCACGAGTTCTTCATTTCGGCCACGACCAGGTGGCATGGGAGTGTTGCGAGTTCCAAAGCAGCGAGAGCCAATCTGGCGAGCAGCTAGCCATGACTCAGGCAAAACGTCTCAAGCAATTGACACCAGCCTTTGGTCGCATGTTACGGGAGACGCGGTTACTCGGCTTGCCGGACCCAGACCTGCATCTAAAAGACCTATACACCTACGAACTATGGAAGAACGTCGTAGAGACATACTCCCAGCTGCAACTCACCAAGTTCACCGACAAGCTGGTTGCCCTAGCTGGTGTCGCGAGGCTGTTCCAGGAATCCTTGTTCAGACCGGACCCCAGACAGACATACGTTGCCGGACTCTGGAGTACGCATCTCGAAAGTCAGTTGCTTTGGTCGGTGAACGAAACCTACAAAAACAACACCGGTGTGTACGACAACCCTGCCCGACGACGCCCAGAAGGTGGCCCTTCTTTCTCGTGGGCATCGATCGACAGCCCCTATGGCGTCACCTATGGCGATGTCACTGATTACGGGTCGCGGTCAGACACTTCTGGCGAGCTGCTATTTAAAGCAGTGGATCACAGCATCGGTCTAGCCGACCCAAAGAACCCCTTTGGTATGGTCACTGCAGGTCGACTGCTCCTAGCACCCCGTCATCTCCGTCGCATAGAGTTGTACAAACTGCCAGTCTCGAGTAGTCTACCTTTCGCGTTCCGCCTAAAGATCGAACCCCAACCCAAGCGACCACAACAGTTCAAGAACTTTCAACTTGATGCGCCGGACTCGGATGTGGATATCTTCCGTGCAGATGCGCAGATGTACTGTATGCCGGCGGCGTATGGAGAGCGAACGGTGATCAAGAGAGAACAATATCTTTACTGCTTATTGCTCAAATACGAAGGCTCGGTCTCTTTCACAGCAAGTGGAAGTGGGCGGAAAGAAGGGCGCTACCGAGCATTCAGACGTGTTGGTATTGCGAAGATCAGCGATTGCACGGACGAATGGGGTCAAGATATGTTGAAGGAAGAAGTTACGAAGGAGATCATTTGCCTGTGCTGACGTGGGGTGCTATACTTGCAAGAGGAAGGCGTTGATGGCATACTTGTTTAGTAATGAATAATGAAATGCTTTGAATATGCAACTCCAGACCCCAGCCCGATCTTGATGATTTATTTGATGATTATTCCCCCAGACCAACGCAACGTACTCCTAGGATGACCAAAATTCTATCTTACCCCACCTTCCACAATCTACCCCTCACCCCACCTCACCTTTCGTTTCCGCTTCCACGTCACCCACAGTTTCGTACCATCGCAAAATCAACATTATATTACCAGATCTTGAGAAATTACCCATCGATTACCTAATACGGGCGCTTGGGTAAGCTGCCACAACATCTCAATCACTCTCTACAACCCACTAACATCCCAAAGTCTAGGGGTATGATTTGTAAGACACCTCCCAACACACCTCTTCTCAGCTCCTCTCCTAACATTCTACTTCAGTCGCTTCGCATTCTTCTGCGTACTTGTGAAAGGTCGTGGGTTCAATTCCCACAGCGTCCACATTCTTTTTGCCAATTTTCTTTGCTGCCATAGCACGGAGGAAGGAGCACTAGAGGTGGGTGTTTGGGTTTGTGGTTCCCATAATCTGCCTTTTTGCTGTTCGAAGTTCCTTTTGCTCGCTATGCTTTCGTTCTTCTCGCTACGCGGAACGAGAACACCTGGCGTGTGGATGGCATTGCTTTTTGCTGTCCCTTGACCGTGCTGCCAACGCGAGGGGGGTGTTCTTTGACTTCTTTTTCAAGGTTGGTAGCGAAAAGACATAATGCTAGCGAACTATCCTTCGGACGATCGAACCCCAACAAGGTGAAAGCATTCGCATAGAAAAGGGAATATAAGAAGATCATCACAGACGTATGCACATGGGACAGTACTTGTTTCTATGCGGTAGATCAAAAGATCACGAGCTGTCACGACGAAAGACGGGCTATATGCAGATCAGATCCAAATGAATTGCTGCCAATGTCTAAAAGATATATACAAAGAAACCCAGGGGTATATGTGCGCCGATTCCATCCACCAAACCAGCAACCAGTGTGACTTGTCCATCCATTCCATCATTCGTCATGCACCGCTCAGTGTCTGGCGTGGTGCCTTGTGAGCCTCTGCCTGTGCTCCCTAATGTGTCTTGCCATGCGTCCCTTTGCGGCAGGGGGATCGGCAGGAGGAGCAGGCGTTGGTGCCGCAGGAGCGGGAGCGGGAGCGGTGACGGTATGATAGATCGTCTGAACTACTGTGCGAATAGCTTCGACAGTGTCTGTGACGACGGGAACAGCTGGGTCGGCTGGAGGTGCCTTTTCAACATTGGTGGGTGCTGGGGCAGGCACCGCCGGAGCAGCAGGTGCTTGAGATGCAGTGGGCTCTGGCGCAGGTACTCCGGGTGCAGCGTATGACTGGGATGCGGCAGGTACATCGGAAGGTTGAGCGACGCTTTGCACTGTGCTGGGAGCGGCGGCCGCGCCACTCGAGTTTTGGATTGCCGTGCTAGTGCCTTCAGGAAGCGAGGCAGAGGGTGTTGTCGATGGCTTAGGTTTGTTGCCGCTATCTGCGCCACCAGAGGGCCATTGGAAACCAGACATGGGGCCGGTCGGAGCTGGAGCTGGAGCCGGAGCATTGATCTGCGTGGTTGGTGCGGCGATGGGGCTTGGGGTCTCGGCGGGGACGCTGGGGGAGGCATCGTCGGCAGGAGGTGATGCGACTGGGGCGCTGGAGGAGAGGGTCTCGCTCGTCGGGATTGGTGCGAAGATGCCGGACACAGAAGCGGTGATGAGCGGAGGAACTGCAGGGTATTCGGAGGGCTCGGGAATGCCAGAAGGCGCAGCAGGTGTCTCCGATGGGACAGGCGCAGAACCATAGGCAGCGCTGCTCTGCTCAGGCACCGAAGAGGGCTGAGGAACAGCGGCGTAACCGTTATCTTGGTACACCTTCAAGGAGTTGATCGTCCAGTACGCCTCTGTGAAAGCCTCGGGGTTGTTCTTGACCCATTCTTCGCATGTATCTGCCTTCTTGCTGCAGGAGCTCTTGTTCCAAACACTGCTGCTGCCCGCCCATTGTCCACAGAATGTAGTGTCGAATACGATCTGCTGCTGCTTGAATGTGCTCTCGATGTCGCAGGCGCCGGCGAACTTGGCAGCTGGCTTGCCCCAGCCGCTTGGGTCTGGGCTGTCACCGAGGACGTCTTCCGGGATGGAGTCGCGAGGAAAGAAGTAAACGCTGATGGCATCGGCGGTCCATTGTGTCGCGTAGACACCGCCACCACCCTCGTTCAAGCCTGCACCGTAGCTCTTGGTCGATGGGTGTTCGATGGAGCATCCGGCGTTCTTCGACTGATCCTCGGCAGCGACATCACAGTTTCCTGTGGTCACTGAGCCAGCGAACTGGGTGGTGTCTTCACCAATCTGGCAGCCGGGGCCAGTGTGGAGGGTCATGCCGTTATTCGTCTGGTCGTTCACGCCTTCGATGATGTCGATCTCGCCATTCTTTGGCCAGTTGGGGCCAGTCGTCCAGAATCTATCAATGTGTAAGCAACATAACTTTCGATGGATGAAAGTCTACTTACGCTGGCCATGTACCACAGCCGAATGGCATATGGGCAACATCCAGCACAATCAGCCCACTGTCGTAGGTCTTCTTGCTCTGGATACGGACACTGGGCCTTCCCTCAGGGGTCTGGTTCTGTGTGTCGACGCCCCAGGAAATCGCTGAAGAAGACGAGTTGATGAGGTTCGTCTGCCTCGCCGTAGCCTCGTCAACGTACTTGACGAAGCCCTCTGTCGGATCGGCATCAGTGAAGAAGTCAAAGGCCCCGTAAAAGTCGGTCATGTAGTCATCTTGGAGAGTATAGCCAGCTATGCTCAGTTGGAAAAAGGCCGCAGCCGAAGTGAGTGTGGAGAAACGCATCGTCGAGACGCTGAAAGATAAGAATAGTAATGAGTGACTGCGTACTAGACGCGTGAAGAAAAAAGGCACAAGAACGGAAAAGACGACAGTATAGTTTGGCGATGTAACGAGGCACCAGATGGTCGGAAAGGGACGGCCTGCCTATATACGCAGGCCTAAAACGGAGGCGTGGCAACGACCCTGACATAGCAGCCACCGATTCGCCCCAACAGCTTCGTCTAGAGGATAGACGAGCGCGGGAGAGTGTACATCTCCCGTTAGGCACATCGGGCTCCGTTTCAACAAGAGGGGAGTTATAGACGGACCGAGTTTATCTCCGGTTAGCAACATTGAGGGGGACCTGCAGGAACCAGTCAGGTACACAAGATGGGGGTTCAATAGCGCTGAGCAAGGCTGCCCGGATGTTTAACCAAACGTGCGCCGTTTCATGAGAAATAGGACGGATGGTCCGTTGGTGAACGGGGAGAGGCGCTTGAAACAGCGAGAAGCGCACATCCCGGTGGATACGTGGCGGGGCCTACGGTTACTATCGATTGCCTGAGGCATTTGCCATGCTCATCAGCATGTGATTCGTCGTCGACGCGTTGAAACGTGAGGTGATCGGGGGTTGGGATGAAGGAGAGCGACTGCTGGCCAATGCCACGCGCCGGATTTAGCGCTTCTGGAAGCGAGCGCGGCCAGTGCTGGCGCTCCACCCCCCTGAAACCGACCGTTCAACCAATGAATCGGAAAGTCGATCTACACAACTCGAGTACAAATAAGTGCTTTTTGCAGGTGGGTGTATTGTCGTCGCGATGGCTGGGACATACCAACTTACGTATGCAGCAGGAAATACAGAAGAGGTTATAGTGGGTGAGATCGGTGATCATCTTGATAACTAAACAAGGCTCATGTTTGGACTATTTGGCTCACGCAACAGTGCATCTGGGCGCATAGATCCAGCCCAAGTATACATGATTACTTCATTTATATCTAGCATTACGTGTCTTCATTAACGAGACGGCACATCTACTGCATCGACTCGACAACAATGGCAGAGGCGCCACCACCACCGTTGCAGATGCCGGCACAGCCAATCTTGCCCTTCTTCTCCCTTAGCACACCGAGCAGTGTAGTTGTGATCCTGGCACCAGAGGCACCGAGCGCGTGGCCGAGCGCGACAGCACCACCGTGCAGGTTGACCTTGTCTTCTGGGATACCAAGGATCTTCATGTTGGCGAGCGCAACGACACTGAAGGCCTCGTTGATCTCGAAGGCATCGACAGCAGAGAGCTCTACCTTGGCGTGCTTCAGAGCCTTGGGCATGGCGAGTGCTGGGGCGGTGGTGAACTTGGAGGGGTTCTGCTCAGCGTCACCCCAGCCGAGGATCTTAGCAATGGGCTTGAGGCCGTGCTTCTTGACAGCCTCTTCAGAGGCAAGAACAAGAGCAGCAGCGCCATCGGAGAGCGGTGAAGCGTTGGCAGCGGTGACGGTTCCGTTTCCGGGCTTGAAAGAGGGCCTCAGTGTACGCGTCTTGGACTCGTTGAACTGTGATTAATAAGTAAGAAAGTGTCGATTAGTGAACACTGCCAGGGTCGCGACTTACGTTCTTGGGCTCATCGTCGCGGTCGACGACGACCGCAGGCTTGCCGCGTCCAACGGTAACCTCAATGGGAGCGATCTCCTCCTTGAACCAGCCGGCCTCGTGTGCGGCGTTGGCCTTCTTGTAGGAGCGGATGCAGTAGTCGTCCTGATCCTCGCGGGAGAAGCCGTGGTCGTCTGCGCACTCCTCTCCCTGCAGACCCATGTGCTCCTTCTTGTATGCGTCGGTCAGACCATCCTTCAGCACACCGTCGACCAAGGGCTGGTCTCCGAACTTGGCGCCGGTCCTCAGGTTGGGGAGGTAGTGGGGGGTGTTGGACATGCTCTCGGTTCCCGCTGCGACGACGATGTCGGCATTGCCGGTTATGATGGTCTGGGCGCCGACAATGAGGGCCTTGATGGATGAGGCGCACACCTTGTTGATGGTGGTTGCGACGGTCGACTCGGGGAGGCCAGCGCCAATGGCACACTGGCGGGCGGGGTTCTGGCCGAGGCTGGAGGGTTGTCAATAGAGTT